TAAAGTAGCTATGAATGAAATCTTCTGTTGTTCACCCAACGTCGATGACAACAATTCGAACAAAGAAGTGATACAAAAAACGAACACTGTAGTTTGTAAGTTAAGGAACAGCGGGTGGAATTGCCTCGGCATTTTTTTGCCGAGGCAAACTATGAAAAATCGTAACTTGCCTCGGCAATTGCCGAGTGCCGAGGCGAATTTCGAGGGTTGCAGGATATGCTAATTATCATTACTAAACAAATAATTATATTGAATAACGACTGATTTTTAAATCAAAAGGTCTACCTACCACTTCTTTTGTTACTCCAGATGGGACCCATAAAAAGTTTCCTTTGGGAAAAACATCAGGTTCTGAACCAGTACTTGCCAAACGAAACTTTCTAATGTTATCTTTGACAATGCCACATCCATCAGGACCTGTGACTAACTGTTGTATATCACGTAAAATTAACTGATGAGTAAAATCTTCATCACTTTTAATATCATGATCTGCAGCACCACACTTACACGTTTTGCAAATTTTTCTATAACGAAAACAAAATTTCCTAGTACATAAAATTGAAAATCACGTTTTGGGTGATACCAAAAACCTACCGATGTAAAAACCTGATTTTCAATTTTATGTATACTATTATCATTAGTTTTGATAAGAGTATCTAATACGCAAAGGACGTGAAAATTTAGTAAGCCTTCCCTGCACAGCCTTACCCCCCCCCCCCAATAAGATCTAGTCTAGAACCACTAGAAAAAGTAAAGAGAGCTAAACGTCTTTATTGTAGGCCATCTGTTTCATTCTCGTCGAGGTTAGCGGGAGTGTTTTCTAGCACTCTTTCACACTCTATTCATAGCTGTCTCGCTTGAATTTTTGTCGTTAACCGCTTTTAGTTGCAAATTGAGAGTTGAAATCGTTGAGACTTGGAACTAAAAATAGTTGTAAACACACAAAAAATAACAAAATAAAACCTCACCTCCAGAAATGCAAGTCCAGTCCCCCAATACAAACTTCAGGCCCACATTTCAGACAAGGAGAACCTGCATGTCGCTCATGAGCCACAACATACTACAGAAAACAGACAAAGTTTTAATTGATTCTAAAATGATATATTAGCACTTACTAAAGCCTGGTTCGCATATGCCTGCGGTATGCCTGCGACTGTATCATTATGCCTCTACTTGCCGCCGAAATACCGGCAAAGTTGAACTCAAGTCAACTTTCCCGGCCTACCGCCAATGTAACTGTGGCACTGGAGGCAATCGGCGAACAAATATTCACATAATTTACGTTTTAAAGCTACCACCGGCATCGTCACAGGCATATATGCGAACCAAGCTTAAACAAATCTGATGTGTTTCGTTGTTTATAAGCCTATCAAATGCTGAATGCTGTATGAGATCACGCTATGAGAAAAATACTGCAGGGAGTCTGGGCCTTTCTGTGGCGTGGACTTCATCGTAACGCCTATCGGTAAAAAATATGGAAATTGAAAATGCTGTGACCACAACCTCCTTCCACATAACTTCCAGGCTAAATTCCAGAGGTATCTGGTCGTTTCATCCCCTAATCATATAACATAATTTATCTGCTTAAGCTACGTTTACACACAGAGGAGAGACATACAGAGTTGCAACTAGTGTACCCATTTTTTTGTGTACATGCTCGGCAAGTTACTAGATGTGCATGCATCTGATAACACCGCGGAAAAACGTCTGCGCATGCGTCAACCTTACCTGTAATAGTATTGCGAACTTGATGAAAAGCTGTTCCGAACGTTTCCGAAGGCTCAAAATGGCGGTAAAAAGGAGTGACTTCATTGTGCGTCTTTACAGCCAGATTTCGAGTGCAAAAATAAACATGTCATTCTAAAAACTAGGAATAAATACAGCCAGAAGGTTCAAGAAATTGTATTGTACAAGAACATGAACTGAAGGTGATTGTTGACAAATTTATGGTCTGAAACATTTTGTTTATCAACTAAGCAACGGCAATTTCCGAATTTTCGTTTGAGATACATTTCTTTAAAAAAAACTGTGTCGCCAAATATAAAAAATTTTCGTGTTCACAATAATTAAACTTTAGGATTTATTCTACAATTTGAGTGGGTTAAGAAGCTTAACTTTTCGAGAGTTTTCTTAACTTTTGAGTTTGAATTTTTGTTTTGAATAATTTTGCAAAAATTTTCGAAGTCGTGTCCGTTAAAATCAACAATTTTTTACATGAATTATATTTCATTCCACACTTTAAATGCCAGGACGCTTTCAATTAATGTCTAGTCTATCCATTTGCTATATTTTCTCGTTTGTTTTACTAATTTTTGACCAATTAATGAGCATGTTTTTGTTTTAGAAATTGATATTCAAATTCCTCGCCATATTTTCATAATTTGGTGCATGCGCAGACGTTTTTCCGCGGTGTTGCATCTAATTGGATGACGACCTGATGACGACTTGATGACGACTCACTTTAAACTTGCTGAACACGCGCAGTTGATCATTTTTTGCCCGGTCGCCTGAAAAAAAGTGGGTACATGAAAACGTAAGCTTCCGCAGTGTTTACGACGGTCAGTTACAGCTCTGTATGTCTCTACTCTGTGGTTTACACGCTGCGATTAACTGTGTACGATTCGTATTCTGGCGTATTAAAATGAGTGCTGGCGCCATAATTCATTGCCGTTTCGTCAAAACGAAATTTCAAATGTAGCCAGCTTACGCGTGTTTACTCAATGACATACGCCAGAAAACGAATCGTACACGATTAATCGCAGCGTGTAAACGTAGCTTTACTGACAATAATTAGCGTAGCAAATATCGTAATTGTTGAAGGTTTCACATTCTTCCTGGAACAAATCTCTGGAAAGGTAACAAACTGCCAATGGTATTCAAGCTGCTGCAATTAGCTCTGCTGACTTATAGATGGATTCAGGCAAAAGGGGACGATCAACTTCGTTCCCAGGGAACGAGGCTGGGTGACGTCACGCGTTAGGGACAATCTGGAACCTGAGCCTGCAATCCTCTGTGGAGGCCATTGAAATGAATATTACCGGAACACTACCTTCAGATAAACTGCCCATCTTTTTTTTTGAAGCCAAATCGCGTGTCTGGAGGTCAAGACATGATGATTGACTAATTGAGCGCTCTTCGCATGCGTGAAAAGACTGGAACCAGCCTTCATGTTTGGCTTCAAATTTCCGGTTGGAGGTTCCAGTTGTATTCATTTCAATGGTGGAGGCTTGCCGAGGCTCTGGGAAACACCAGCGAAAATGGATTCTGATTGGTTGTTTGTTAATTGTTCGTACCCATTTCTTTTACACTGATTCCGTGCTAATTATTATTCAACTGTGAGTCTATTTTAATAGTGATTGAAACCAAGGGAAGATGACTGTGAAACTCATTAGAATAACAATATAACTCATTATCTATGTTAGTCAACGTTTATTCATAAATCTGGTTCTTTCACCGTCACGTGTGTATTGTATTTTTACCCAATCAACCAATTGCAATCTCCAGTTTCTCTAATGTTCGAGTCACGGATAGGTGATTTTCCTAAAACATTGCAATTGGTTAGTTCGGTAAAAATACAATACACACGTGACGGTAAAGGACCAGATTTATGAATACACGTTGACTAACATAGATAATGAGTTATACTGTTATTCTAATGAGTTTCACAGCCATGTCCCCTTCGATAGGCTATGTTCAAACATAGTTTAATATAAAGTTTATTTTTCTCTGTGTATTATGATTTTATACATATCAATGAAACACACAATATAACTTTAATAAACTATTAAGTTATTTCCTTCGCTTCTCATATATTATAGAGGTTCAGATTTTACTTCCCAGGGGTGGAAAAAGTATCGGAACCTGGGAACGTAGTTCCCAGAAATTGTTTTGAGTTGAGAGTTTGCAGAAAATTTTTCAGAGAATATTTCAACATTTTGAGATAACTCTGTTTACTCAACATACAACTATTGTACTTTATCTACAATGTACACACTAACATCAGCAGCCTTTTAAATATTTGACAGAAATTAATTCTGTTACCCACCCCTGCCATCACAATCATGAGGTAAAATGGTAAATATATGCTCTGCAAAGTCTCCAATAAAATGCAAATTAAATAGTAAACTTGTAAATAAAATATGCAATGAAATAAGCTTCAAGTGCCAGTGCTGTATGCTATAATACTAGTATAATCATATTATAACAAAACAAATGCAAATCAGACAAAAAGTCAAGTGATGGAATAAATAAGATTATAGGGCACTTAAGCCCCGTTTACACTACGCTCAATATTTGGTACGGCACGGATAAAATTGGTACCCGTACCACTTTTTTAGTTCTTGGACTACCTATTTAGGTAGTCCAAGAACCAAAAAGTGGTACGGTCCCAAAAATTGAGCGTAGTGTAAACAGGACTTAGCTAAATAGGTAGTCCAAGAACTGAAAAAGTGGTACGGGTACCAATTTTATCCGTGCCGTAAGATTATAGGACACTTAGTTAAGCGTTAGATCCTTACTAGTTGATCATAACTCAAAAACGTGGTATATAACAGACAGTGTTGTAGTACTCGAGTCCGGACTTGGACTCGAGTCCGGACTTGAGGGCATGACTCGGACTTGAACACATCGGACTTGGACTCGATATCAAAGAACTCGGACATGACACCTCTGGACTTGGGAATTTAGGTCAAGTCCTGTACGTCCACCACTTAATTTCCTCGTTGATATATACTCATTGCTTCGAACAAATCATGGCCTCTCTATATATATATTGCCACCCGGCGTTGAAACAGCACAAATTGCTCCGTCAGTACGAGTTTCAAGCTTAATTTACCAAAGATATTTTTCGCGGCAAGAACATATACCAAATGGAAACAATAGAGATCACATGATTTATATCTTACGACCTTTCAATTATTAATCAATGCTTTTTCGTTGGATATAGAAAAATATATCTATTTACGGAATTCAATACTTTAATAAATTAAGTGTTCCAATTATTTTATTCGGACAATGGATTGCATGCACTGCATGTAATGTAGGGCCTTATACCGCTTTGCACTGTATGTTTTAAACTCGAAATTGAATATCACTATAGTCTGATCAGTTTGCAACTGATGGTGTAGCCATGCAGACCTTCATTTTTTTATTATTTTTTTTTTGGGGGGGGGGGGGGG